GAGCACGAACAGCTCAGTGGTAATTTTTTTGAGTAGAGAACTGTGCAACACGGATTCCAAACTCGGAAGGAACATAAATTCCTTCAATATTTCAGATACGCTTTGGTGACTGACTGGTGAGTGAAAAGATGCGGAAACCCAGGTGGAAGGCTTCCTGATGATGGCCTCAACCCATCTTATATATATATATATATATATATATATATATATATAATAGAAGTAACACGTGTTTATATGTTTGGGTTTGTGAGTGATTGCTGTTTGAGGTGTAATACTTCCACTGATAATAGAGAGAAGTCTTTCTATTAAGAAATATTCTTCAACCGCCATATCATTGTGGTTTGAAAAGTGGAAGATAGTTTAAGCGAGTAGGTTGTTTATGTACTCCAATCATAGTATTTCGGCTAGCAGAGTTAAACTGCATTCTTATCATTCACACTGAAAGTTTAGAATGTTCTGTGAAGTGAGCTGTGAAACGTCTGACCATATAACAAGTACAACACATTTGTTATTAAACCTGCTATACCCTCACTTTTAAAAACGTCATCAATGATGTTTCGTCGGTGTATCTTATCGGCTTGTGTACTAATTTCGGTTGCATTATGCATACTTCGTATGCTGAAAAATACGAACGACAATGAGTAATGATAAAATTAGGAAAACCAATTAGAACTGAATTATGTGGAAAACTCGGACAGTTTAAATTAAAATAACTTGTAAATGGCAGGAGATGGAGGTTAAATTAGCAGTTTTTATATTCATTCAAAATAGTCAAGGCTAGGAAGGCTGCTGTGGAAAGGTTTTTTTTCCGAACATGTAGGCTTGTATTCTTTAGAAAAATTCAAGTGATTTCTACTGTTAATCAGAAATTTGGTGTATCTACATCTAATTTCCTCTTCGAAATTCGGATCCACGACATCCAGGCTACCGATATCCATGGTGAAAATTCCATACTTGTACCAAAAATACAGTGTGGAATCAAGCTGTAATCAAAATAAAAAAAGTAAAAATTAAATATATATATATATAGCCAATGATGTAAAACTAATTGAAAGGGAATACATTTCTTCGCTGAATTTACTGATTTTTCTAAATGTTTAAATAGTAATTATCAAACTAAAAATTGTATTTATCTTTTAGTCACAATTGTTAGTTATCATAACTTGACTCATTATATTATTATTATTATTGTTGTCGTGGGTTCCGAATGGAACATAGAACTTCAACAACACATCTCTACTTACTTTTATTTTATGCCATTCTCTTCAGCTGTGTCCACCGCTGCCTAAACTCTCTCATCTCTTTCTCATACTGTCACTTCCCATTTGGATTTCATTCAAGGGCCTGGCAAGCGAATAACATATCTTAAGTGAGCATATTTTTTATGCAGTAGGCTTTGAGCCACAGACACAACGGAAAGGCTGATGAAATTTACTCACTTTTTCAAGCTGATATCGGTAGATTGCCACTAAGACATTTGACCTGCTGGCTATAGGTCGAATGTTTTAACTACTGAAACATGCCTTCACTAGTTGATTTGTTATTGGGTTTTTGGGTTTTTTTAACGGTTGCTGAGGTTAGAGCGGGACCTGAAATCACCTTTTTACTAAATTAGAATTAGAATTATTCTCTACAATTAATCTATTAGTCATATGATTTGAATTATGCTTAATTTTTAAGACGTTTGATCAGGTTATTTGTTTCATAAGGTCATTAAATTTGCTTAACAGCTATGTAAATTTGTACCAGAGGCGATCTATCAGTTGTGCTACAAGGTCAACGAGATTATACTTTTACTGTAATCATTATCATCGTGGGTGATGTCCATCTGTCAATTGAGCGGAGGAATAATGAGTATTTACTGTGGGATGTTTATTACACTAGCTGCCTAGCTAGGTTTTCTGCAGTGAACCTTAATCATCCTGATAATAGTGAATTAGTTCTAAAAGATAAACTGATACATCGGTTAACCTAGAAATTCGTCGTAGGCAGCTGTTTTGAATCTTATCACCAAGGAAATCTTCATTTGATTTTCAGTTAACACCCTTCACATTCATATGAGTCTGCCAACTTAAGTAACTTCTCAGATAGTCTCATTATTCAGATTAACAACCCACTTTCTCCGCTTCTTTTAATTCAGAATGGTTACGACTGATAGGAGAAGACCCGGTTTATCAACAGTTAGTGTGACGGTAAACAGGCGTTAACGTATCGTCTATAAATTCGTTCATTCAGAAGATAACTAGACATTCATCACCTCTGATGCTTTGCAGCATAATCCGTATTCAAAATGTGCAGATTAATGTGCGTCGGTGGCACAGTGGTTAGGACTCTCGCCGACCATGCACATAGTCCGAGGTTCGGTCCCCTGCCGACGAACACCTGATATCTATGGTCGGCCTGCAAAATTTGGGCTACCGATATCACATGGTGAAAATTCCATACTTGTACCGAAAATACAGTGTGGAATCAAGCTGTAATCAAAAATTAAAAAAATTTAAAACTTACACAGTACGAGTTGAGGTTTCGTCATGACAAAAAAAATCATCGACTTAAAAGAAGCGATACAGTGGAATAGGTAGAAGGCAAGAATGAGCAAATTGTAAAAGAAGAGAATGAGTGATAGTAAATTGTTTTAACTTTCTTATGTAGAAGGCTAGATCAGAATAACGTTCTAGAAACTAACATGATTTGGAAAGACCAGAGAAAAGGCATAAATCAAGTTATTTGACACTCGACTTCGTTTCAAATTCAGTACCATCTATTATATAAGAATCACGTAAATCACGCTTGTGTATGAAAGTGAGATTAACAACCAGACATTTGGAGAGATTTGGCCTGAAATCATTTGAAATTTCTGATAAGAAGCCCTTCATTTTGAAATATTCTGACTGAGATGTGGCTGGTGTAGAAACAATCAGATCACTGGTATTCTAACCCAAATTGGCCTCGTCAGAATGAGACAAGTACGTCATGTAAGAGGAAAGAAAACAGAAGTGGAAAAAGAATAACATCTTGAAGGACACCGGCTGGAGTAAGTAGAGCTGTGGAGCACTTCCGCTTCCTATCAGAAAAGTAAGGATACGTCCATTTAATATACCAAAAAACTGTTTGTGCCACAGGAAGCTTGTTTAATAAAAGAAGCATAGGTATAGAGTCAAAAGCAGATGTATAGTCGAGAAAGGCATCTTTGTATAAACTACAGACAATTTTATGATGTAAGACAGCAGTGGCGTCTCAAGTACATCTATCATGTCTATTAGCACAATGTTTTGGACTGTTGAAAGATTTCAATGAAGGAAGGTTTAAGGTTAATTAAAAGCTTTTATTGCAGTAAGTTAGTCTAGATTTTTCTGGGTTTTTGTGCTCCGATAGTCTTATTCACCCCGTCCTACTGTAACAACAGAAGACAAGGGCCAGGCAGCAGATCCTTCATTATGGAAATAAACACATATTTATATATTTTCATGTGGACGCAGAGTGGAGAGGAAGTGGAGAGCTATCAAGTCGAGGAGTTGCATCAGTGGAAGGAAGGCAAGATAATAGAGATGAAGATGAAGACAAAGATGAGTGAGTAATAGAGAGGTTTCGTGTGCATTTCGGATTGTTAGGGCGATTGTTACTTCCCCGCTGCCCACACCGTGGAAGTTGGTTGCGTGACCGCAGAGCCCAGGGGACAACTGCTTGAGGCCGGTCACACGCGGCCTGTTTTTGCTCGTTCTTTTTTGTTTGGTGTGTCTCAGTAACAGATTTATCACTCCTGCCCTGTGACACGGCAGCAGGAAGCGCGGTCGTTGTTAATCTGGGCCACGGCCGATCCGGCATGAAATTTTGTGATTTTGTATTGGACATGATGTTGGATTGGGTAGCTGCTTTTTGTTTAACCGCTATCCAAACAACCTTTCTGGCATGGTAGTACCTCAAGAGACATAAGTCTCAGCCAGTATAGATTGAATAGATCATTGCGGTGTTCAAGCCCGACCACCACGTCAAGGTAGCAGCTTTCGGTCGGGACATGTGTTACGTATGCCAAGCCATCGCCTCCCTCGACGAGCTATGTTAGCGGATAGAGGGTCAGGCTGGAAAACAGCTAGCGGCGGTCAAACAAAAACTTGGCATCTGTCAATGAAATCCACAACAGTTGGTCTAAGCCACGTAGAAAGGTGTAGACTTCCAGGCTGGGGTCCTCGGGACGGTAAAAATCTATGGTTGGAAACAATTGGTGACATGGCTCAAAATCGTTCTCAGTGGCGCAGATGCATCCACTCTTTGTGACTTATGATCTTCAATGAAACTGTTTTGTATTTCTTTATTACTCCTTTGTCTCATACCTCTGCTCACTGTTTCTATTATGCTTTTCTTGTACTTTCTTCTCTTGCTTCGCGTGCTACACGGAGTGTCGCGACTTGAACTTCCGCACATTTGTGCAAAGTTTTATGTCGAAAACAGACAGACAGACATATTTTCATGTACATTACTATAAATTATTTAAGCGAACAAACACAGTCCTCTGATTGGTTGTTTCTCACTGAAAGTTATTCTTTCATCTGTTTGTGGCTGTTTCTTAAATGTCAGATCATCTTTATGCTAACTTTATCCGCCTACTCAAAGTCTTTGTTCTCATTTTTCTCACGACCAGTATTGGGGACATAAACATTGACGTAAAATACTGTCAACCAATTTTTGACGAACAGCCAGCTCTAAACACACTACTACTTTGACCTGCTCATTTAACCGAAACGTCAATCCAGGGTATACCATAAACTAAGTTAGTTGAATCGTAGTAATAATAACAGTTTTATTCTACTCAAAGTTCCTCTGTAACCTTAAGGTAGGAAGAATTCTTATCAAGTCGACAGGGATAAAAGTGGCACTCAAAAACACACAGACTCACACTTAAAATGTAGTTGTGTTACATTAAATTATTTTAGTTTTTGGTTAATATTAATCCGTATTCGTTCTTTATGTGTATTTTCATCGACTGATGGTCTACACTCCAGGTGTTGTCTGTTCTGGTGACATTTCACACGATATGACAATGTCAATTGCAATTGGTCTATCATTGTGTGCATTAGTTGTCTGTGTTCTATTCGGTTTGGCGATCAACCATTTAAGACAAAAGGATCAAACATTTAAAGCTGTCGATACAACAGGAGATGATTTGAAATGATCAAACTATTAATCATACTAAAACTATTACTTACTGTTGTCAAGATTACAAAGACAAGTTACTTCACCAAAAAAACCAAATGGACAATCAATTGATGCAAATGTCTATTAATTAATTTCTCTTTCCATAATGATTTTAAACACTATCTATATCGATGAATTATGTATGCATTTCTTGTTCTTTTGATTTTAATTCTTTTTATGCGTATATATTTAAAAAAGCATACTCCATTTTCTTGTTTTAATTAGCATTTAACATTGAACAGTGTTGTACATTTATCAGATCATACTGACATAAATCACATTGTGTGAGTTTTATTCACTATATACCTCCGTAATACTAAGTAAAATGGCATCGCCTTCCTTAACAGCTGTCAATTAATCTAGTCTTTTCCCACCTTTATTATTAATATAATGATTATTATTAATAGTTTTAATAATTTTCAAGAATTTTTTAAAATCTCATAAAACCAACAAATGCTGTTGTATTGATGATGATAAGTAATGAAGATTTTCAACTTTTAATAATTTCTTGTTCCGTTTTGCATGATGATAAGATAATGAATGACGTGTAAAGATGTTTTTGAACATTTTCGGAATGTAGGTGTTCTGAAGGATTTGTTAGATTTTGTCATGAACTATAAGTTATCGTGACTAGTGAAATAGGTGATCAATGAAGACATTAACTGAGGAAAATAAGACTATATAATAATAATTTTGCTTTTATTCCAGAAACAGTAATTGTGGTACAGTGTGGAATTTTCAGCACAAATCTACAATATTGCATATAATTTCATCGGACATTTAAAAGGAGTATGTGTTATTTTGTATGTATGTGTACATTAAGTTTGTCAAACAAAGTTACAATTAGTTAAGGTTATTTTAACTAAACAGGTGAAGGTTGGTAATACAAGTCAAGAAAATCAGGCGTTAGGATAGTAACAAAGGTGATGAGTTGTCACAAACAGCTGTTAAAAAAGAAGTTATGTAATAATAATATGAATAGTTGATGAGTGATTTTCACTCAGGATGCACATAGGAACAAAGTAGATAATATGAAATTATGCAAAAGATCTAAGTGAATACAAGAATTATAAGCAATTAAAGGAAAGGCAAAGAAACAAAATTAAGTCATCAAAGTAATGATGATAGGCGGCCTGCTTAAATCTTGGGCTACCAAAATTTCCATCCTACATATTGCATCTATTTCCTCGGATTTATTTTGTTTTAATCATCCAATTGTGTATCCAAGTCGCATTACTTACTCTCGCAATTATTTAAAATGTCTTCAACCCGTTGATTTACGAGTATATAATAACGTTAAGAAAAAGCATCATGGAGGTTGGCAGAGATCATTAAAGTGTACTCCAATGCATCAGATGACTGTTCCTGTGATTATGAGCACAAATTGCAGGTCATTATCGAACAAGATTAACTACTTGCATTCTCTATTATACTCAAATGTATATTGTAATACTGGTGTAATCACTCTTCAAGAGACTTGGCTCCATGATTCATATGACGATAATTTAGTCTCCTTAAGTGGGTTCACAATCTACAGACAAGACCGATGCAGCTCAAAGAAGAAGAGAGGTGGTGGTGTTGCCACTTTTATTAATTCTCAGTGGTCTACTGCCAACAACGTCTGCTTCAAATTCTCAAATGACAATATTGACTGTATAACTGTAAAATGTCGACCTAAACACTTACCTAAGTATAGCTCCATTTTTGTCACAAATATCTATATCACACCTTGTTGCAGTCCCTCAGAACTATCTATCTTCGCTGATGAATTCACTATTTTTGCTGCTGCTTCGTTTGGTAACTCCTTATCTATAGTGACCGGCGACTTCAACTCCAGCGACTGCAGTTTTATTACATTGCTGGGCCATGAAAATGTTGTTAATTTCCCAACTCGACAAAATACTTCACTTGATTTAGTATTTATAAATGATTCTGGAATATACGAAGCTCGTAAAAGAGCCCCACTCTTCAATTCTGATCATTGTATTGTACGAGTCTTACCCAAAATTTACGGAAAGTTACACAGTAAAGCCCTCTCAAACTTGTCTAAGAAAGTTGTTCACAGATGCTACTCAAATGAGAACGTACATCATCTTAGAAACATGCTCAGTGACACAAGATGGGATTTGTTTAATGTTGATTCACTTAATGACAATATCTCTAATATTACATCCTATCTGAAATTCTGTTTTGAAATCTGTTGTCCAAAAGAAACACTATTCGTCAAATTTGACCGTTTCTCCTCGCCTCAACTTAAAAAGCTTCGTAGAGAGAAGGAAAAACTATATAAAATCAAAGATAAAATTGGTGTAAAAAGAACTAACTTCTTAATTAAGTCTGAAATGCAGAGGTTGAATGTAATATATAACCAGAAATTCATATCCTGCAAAAATCCTTCTAATATGTGGAAACTATTTAAGGAAATCACTGGTGGTAAGCAGATAAACAATATTCCATATTCTTTTGATGTATGTACTCTTAACAAATCTTTTATTTACTCTCCCTCAAATGCCATGCTTCCCAGCATCACTTGTGTTAATAATAGCCCCTTTCCAGGTTTTAACACAAATGATGTTCAAAAGTGCCTCAAGTCTCTAAACCCTTCCCAGAGCTTAGGTCCCGATTATGTACCTAGTATTATTTTAAAAAATGTTCTGATATTCTGTGTCACCCTCTTACTGATCTATTTAACAAATCTTTTTCCGATAATATTGTGCCTGCCGTTTGGAAGGACATTAAAGTTGTACCCATACCTAAATCTTCTACTGGAGCATGTGTCAAATTTAGACCCATTGCTATTACGTCTCCTTTTTTGAAAACTATGGAGAAATTACTTTTACTTAGTCTTGTACCTTCGCTTAAATCCTTTAATGACCCTAAACAATTTGCCTAGAAGCACTTTAGATGCAGCTGCCGTCTTATATCATAACATTGCTTCCAGTCTAGACAAGGGGGCTAAATTTGTTCGTTGCGCCTTCCTAGACTATACATCTGCTTTCGACTCGGTCCCTAGGGACATCTTATTAAATAAACTTGCTGCTAGTCAAACAGAATGTTGGGCTGTTAACTGGTTACATTCCTATTTCTCAGATAGAAAGCAGTACACCGTATATAAAGGGAAGTCTTCCACTTCATTGCCTACTGAAGCTGGTGTCCCTCAAGGTGCTGTTCTTTCTCCTTTTCTTTTTTCTTTCTTCTTGCATGACTTGCCTCACTCTGATGAAATAAACTTTGTGAAGTACGCTGATGATTTAACGGTTTCAATGGCTGTTAACTCCCAGCTAGATTGTACTAAAATAAATAGCTTTCTATCGGAAGTCAGCAAATGGTCTGAGTCTAACGGTCTTAAACTGAATCCTTCTAAGTGTCAAACTGTTGATTTCAGCTTAAGATGTAAACGACAGTTAAAAGAAGTCATCGATTCTCATGACAGTTGTAAAATTGACGACAATGATATAGGAATCAAATCAGAAATTAAGTATCTTGGACTCATTCTCTCTTCTGATCTCTCCTGGTCTTCCCATGTCTTAGCAATCTCCAGTAAAATATTCCGCCTGACATTTTACATTAAGAAGTTAAGACACTCGGGTATAACTCAACCCCTCCTCTTACAGTTCGTAAACTCTTGCATCCTACCTATTCTTCTTTATTGCTCACCCTTATTCTTTCCTGGTTTGCTTAAAAATGACTATGTCACAATTCGTAGAATACTGAAGACTGTCAGTAGGGTGAGTGGTGTCCCAGTGGACCACATAGTTAACGTCGTTGTCGATAGGCACTTGACTTCGTGCAATAAATTTGCTAGAGGGATTTTGTCTGACTTGGAGCATCCGCTTTACCCTCAGCTTTCACCTTGCATCTCCTCAGGTAGAACAAGGAGTAACTTCAGAAAACTGTATGCTCGCACGTCTAAGTATAAGAATTCTATGATACCATACTTGGCACGTATTTTATGTGATGAAAATAGTGTCAGGCAAGAATTAACTAACCTTTTTTCATCTAGTAAATAAACAATTTCCTCCATCCATCCTTATATACTTTCAAGTTTTACTTTTATTACTTCTATTATATTTATGGTCCTGTTACTTCTCTGTTTTACTCTCATAATTGCAAACACCAACTTATCTCCATGACGGCTGTAATCTTTGTTTTTCCCTTCACCATATCATGTAGAAAGAACATTATATTCAATATTTTTAAACATGTTAGGATTTCTATACCACATTGACAATACTGTGTGGCACAAGCCAACGGCAATTTTCACTTGTATTCTTATTATTATTACCCTAGCTGTTATCATTATTATTGCTATTTCCATTTTATATGCTGCATGTTTTTGACACTACCTCTATTGTAAGTGTGGAAAATTTTCTGTGGGATTAATTTTATTTATAATTTGAGGAAATTAGATGCAATATTGTGATTAATGCTGAAAATTCCATTCTGTATCACAAGTACTGTTTTTGGAATAAAGTAAATCATTATTATTATTATTAAAATACAAGAAAAAAAAACTCAAAACAAATCAACACATTGTTAGCATGAGAGTAGAAGTAGTTGAGTAATCTTCTTTTGTATGCACAACTCCGGATTTTCCATATGAATGGCCAGAGCTTCAGCGATACAAAGGAGACGAAACCGTATTGCCTTTGATAGGTTATTCTTGACTCTGTAGATTGCTTTGAAGGAAGCGTTTGTTGAAATGCAATGATAAGTGTTAACCAAGTGTTCAATTATCGCACTCCTTATTGCACCACTATTGCCTTTTTCGCAACCATGCTGGATAGTGTTCTTGAATTCTCTTGAACAGGATGCGCGTCGAACGACTGATGTACCTGGCTCCACAGTAGCAGATGAACTGATATATGCACATAGAAGTGGCCAGATACGGGATATTGCTCTTGAGGCTTCTACAGATCCGTGGGCGACTGGAGAACACTATTCTTAGCGTTGCTGCAAAGAATGTTCTTCTCAGAGATGATGTGATCCTTCTCTTGAGAATATCGCTTGCTAAATCTCCCTTGAAATCCAAGTTCATGTGGAGTTTCTTTTTAGGCGCAATGAAAGTTTCGTTTCTCCGAATAATTGGTTTAATATTTTTGTCGATTAATCTTATTGGGTATCAATTTTGGATGAAAATTTCTCTTAGAATATCTCATTCTGTTTTCAGAACGTCGAGACTACAGATGCGTTGGATTCGGGTGGCAAGTGATTTAATTAAATTTCGCTCTTGTTGAATGGGTACCCAGCTATAGAAGCTTGTTAGTTGACCATTCCACGTAGGTTTTCTATGGATTGATCTTCTTAGGCTCCCATTGTTCACATTGTCGTTGTTTTATTTCTGTCAGCTAGTACATCATGCGATGAGTCTCGTTTTCTGTTTTAAATATCCAGTGGAACATATTCCAAGCTAATGTGTATTAGAATTACTTTTTATTTAGAATTATTATGTATTCAGGATATTTATTGAGTT